CAACCTTTCTTTCCATATGAATTATCTGTTGCTTAATCAGATTCAGGTCTTTTTTCTACTCAGATTCCTTTCTCCTCTTTAGTCAGCACTAATTCATGAATATTGCTCGCTCAAATCATCATGGTATAGTTTATCGATCTATATTTTAGTAAATAGAAAAAAGCAAAGACTTTGATTCATATATATATATATATATATATATACATTCATGTGCACAGTTCTATAAACAAAATTTATGGTTTGAAGACTACGAACAGCTTGGAAACAGAAAGATTTTTGAGCTACTTATGCTTAGCAATAAGAATCAATATGCTGTGAAAATATTGCTGAGAATGGAAAGATCCTTAATGTGCAAGGCAATCATTTGGGAATTATTTGTCACTCTTTCCTGTTGAAGACCTATCTCCATCCTCAATGATCTCAAGTTCAAGTTTTTGATATCACACCCATCAATCAAGACCATTCCAGAAATGGTATCATAAAATTGCATAACTAGTTCAATCTCAGAACTTTTACCAGATGATACTTTCAGACTTGAATTCTCAAATATGGTGATATCAGGTCTCATGGGGTACACGAAGCTTACTTCCCGGAATTCTGCATCTCCTTTGATATGAGATACCGCTTTCGATGTGGGATTATTAGCTTATGTAGAAGTTTTTTTTTTTTTTTTGAGAATACCAAGAACTGACTCAAATACTTGCGTTCCTTCACAATATTAGGAGTAAGAGCAAGTGCAGTGATTATCAAGACCATGAAGGACTTGATGGTGTCTCCAAAGTTAGAGTCAGTGTATAGGCACAGAAGGCAAACATGAGATGCACCATATCCAAAACCTGCAATATAGCCCTGAAGAAATGCTTGCTTATTTAGCCTGTTTAACTCAGAGGTAAATTGGATTGACCTCCAGTCTTCTATACCAAATGCAGCAACAGTATGCATATTGGCAATTGCTTCGTGAGCCATGGTCGATGCTCCTAAATAAGCATGACCATAATCTCCTAAAATCCTTTTCAGAATAGTCGATACAGGTTTCAAACTAATATGCAAATGAAAGGTAAGAGCTATAATGAACAGTGGTAGACATAGTTGAATTACAAAATACCATGAGGAGTGAAGCTCCAATTAGAAGGGGGAAGGAGGCAATGGTGATAGCTGTTATACGCCAGCTTAACGTGAAGACAATAATGAATGCTGTTGCAGTGAGTGCTACATTCTGAACTACTGTTGATAAACAATCAGCCAGAGCACCATTTAGTAAGGGTTTTCATCTGCAGCTAATCTTGAAGTCGGTATGCCAGTGCTATTCTCATCCAGATCAAACCAGCCAATCTCATTAAGTATAGCTGCAAATGAGACAAGAAAGAGTTTGAGCCTTGAATGATGATTTTGTCAAACAAAAAATACAATGTTCAGTCTAAAATTTGATATTAGACATGTGTCTCAGTATATTTCAACGGTAATTTTATCTCAAGTTTAACAAGTAATAGAAGTTCTTGGCTTCCAATTTTCTTTGAAGTGGTTTGCTGAAAAGTGAAAACAAACTTGAGAAATAATGATAACCGAACTTGGGGGTGAGATGCTCTTCCATCAATGTATAAAATGGTGTTGCAACAAGTATATAGGAATGGTGACAATAGCCACTGCAACAAATATAAGAACTACTCAACCTCTTGTTTGATCAAGGATTCATGAGGACTACAAAATGAAGTCAAGACATTGTGATCCCAAGTGCAAACATAGGAGCTTCCATGCCAGCAACAACTGCAACAATTGACCCAAGTACAGCTGCTTCCCGCTCTGATGCATTTCATTTCAGCGGTTGCCTTATTGATGAATTAATGGTGTCAAGATTTGGAGATGGATTTTGATCACTTCCCTGCAGCTGATAATGATTTTCACTGTCAAGAGGTTCTCGAAAACTAGAAGAACAATAAGAAATTGCAGCATAATGTGTTGAACTTGCAATTTTGGGTTAGATATTAAGTCTAAATGGCTCCCACTGTCAACAACTTGACCATTCTTCAGGAAAATGATTTTGTCAACATCACGAATGGTGGACAATTTTGTCAAGGTATCTAGTATTTTGTTGCTAGATTCTGACGTTGATTTTGTAAAAAAAAAAAAAATTTCTCTGGTGAAGGAGAGATACTAGATGATTATGTCAACATCTTTCTTAAGACTTCAAACCTGTGCTTGGGAAATAGTTTGGTAAGGATACCAACCAGCTGCTTTTCGACTTACAAGGCTGAAAACAAACGTCTTCTTGCTTCTCTGCTTCTCGTACAAAATGATATTTAATCTTAATGAGTTTGCTCTTGCCATAAAACACAAGATTCTTGGCACTTGCTACATCTGATTTGTTGTTCCAAAATATGAATGTATACTTATTTTGCTTCTAATCAAGATCATTAAGCACCTTCCTAAGCCAGATGGCCTGGTTGACTGCACTTGCTGCCAAGCACAAAAGAGTAGTCCATATGTAAAACCAACACCAATTCCTTCTGCAAACCCACTCTTCTTCCCCAGTTTAAGGCATCTCTTAAGTGACTCTGAGTATGCTTCAATGTCTTTCTCCTCCCCTACATAGGCAGACTTTGCTCCGAACCCGTGAAATAACCTGACCGATCAGAAGGAAAGAAGGAACCAAAATGTAAATCTGTTGCTCTTAACTCGTCCATAGCATCAACATTACTGACAATTTTAGCCCAAAAAATTTTAAAACTTGTTCATTTGATAAAAATGTTAGCAGTTATTTATCCCAGTGAACGCCCAGCGGCAAGAAAGGGAAGCAAGGAGGCAATTAGTACCTCTTCTGGAATCCTCCCAGCTTCAGTATAAGCAGACTCAGCCTTTTGGGATACAGTGGTAATGAACATGAATTTCCTATATCAATCAGTAACACGTTCCGTATATATACATATCTTTCCTTTCTTGTTGTAAGCTGTTGGCAAGTTTTCTTCTTCATTGTAGTAAATATACTCACGTAAACAGGAATTATATTAGTACGTGGTTTCATTGATTACACCAGATAGAAACCACTACTGCCTGCTTTATATATATATTCCACTTACATGTATGTATGCAACTATATATTTGTGTGGACATCAAGGTTCAAGATTACGAGAACGCGATCGTCAACCAGTGGAACTTAAAAACAGAAGAAGATCACGGGACATGTCAAATTCCAGTTAGAAACCACTACTGCCTGCTTTATATATATATATATTCCAGTTACATGTATGTATGCAACTATATATTTGTGTGGACATCAAGGTTGAAGATTACGAGAACGCGATTGTCAACCAGTGGAGAACCTAGAATAGAAGAACATCACAGGACATGTCAAATTGCTTCTAACGAGGACATTCAACGTTTGGTTTCTGGGCGTATTAGATCTTCTCTGTAGATCAAGTTATATATTTGCCTCGGACATCAAGGTTCAAGATTACGAGAACGCGATCGTCAATCAGTAGAACCTAGAAACAGAAGAAGATCACGGGATATATCAAATTCCAGTTAGAAACCACTACTGCCTGCTTTATATATATATTCCAGTTACATGTATGTATGCAACTATATATTTGTGTGGACATTAAGGTTGAAGATTACGAGAACGCGATCGTCAACCAGTGGAAAACCTAGAAACAGAAGAAGATCACGGAACATGTCAAATTGCTTCTAACGAGAACATTCAACGCTTGGTTTCTGGGCGTATTAGATCTTCTCTGTAGATCAAGTTCTATATTTGCCTCGGACATCAAGGTTCAAGATTACGAGAACGCGATCGTCAACCAGTGGAACCTAGAAACAGAAGAAGATCACGGGACATGTCAAATTCCAGTTAGAAACCACTACTGCTTGCTTTATATATATATTCCAGTTACATGTATGTATGCAACTATATATTTGTGTGGACATCAAGGTTGAAGATTACGAGAACGCGATCGTCAACCAGTGGAAAACCTAGAAACAGAAGAAGATCACGGAACATGTCAAATTGCTTCTAACGAGAACATTCAACGCTTGGTTTCTGGGCGTATTAGATCTTCTCTGTAGATCAAGTTCTATATTTGCCTCGGACATCAAGGTTCAAGATTACGAGAACGCGATCGTCAACCAGTAGAACCTAGAAACAGAAAAAGATCACGGGATATGTCAAATTCCAGTTAGAAACCACTACTGCCTGCTTTATATATATATTCCAGTTACATATATGTATGCAACTACATATTTGTGTGAACATCAAGGTTGAAGATTACGAGAACGCGATCGTCAACCAGTGGAGAACCTAGAAACAGAAGAAGATCACGGAACATGTCAAATTGCTTCTAACGAGAACATTCAACGCTTGGTTTCTGGGTGTATTAGATCTTCTCTGTAGATCAAGTTCTATATTTCCCTCAGATATCAAGGTTCAAGATTACGAGAACACGATCGTCAACCAGTGGAACCTAGAAACAGAAGAAGATCATGGGACATGTCAAATTCCAGTTAGAAACCACTACTGCCTGCTTTATATATATATTCCAATTACATATATGTATGCAACTATATATTTGTGTGGACATCAAGGTTGAAGATTACGAAAACGCGATCGTCAACCAGTAGAGAACCTAGAAACAGAAGAAGATCACAGGACATGTCAAATTGCTTCTAACGAGAACATTCAACGCTTGGTTTCTGGGCGTATTAGATCTTCTCTGTAGATCAAGTTCTATATTTGCCTCGGACATCAAGGTTCAAGATTACGAGAACGCGATCGTCAATCAGTGAAGAACCTAGAAACAGAAGAAGATCACGGGATATGTCAAATTCCAGTTAGAAACCACTACTGCCTGCTTTATATATATATTTGTGTGGACATCAAGGTTGAAGATTACGAGAACTCGATCGTCAACCAGTGAAGAACTTAAAAACAGAAGAAGATCACGGGACATGTCAAATTGCTTCTAACGAGAACATTCAACGTTTGGTTTCTGGGCGTATTAGATCTTCTCTGTAGATCAAGTTCTATATTTAATGGAAAAACTTTGTTAAAAAAGATTTAGGGATTGATTTCCATAGATTTTCTGTGTAAATATGAAGTTTTTGATATTACAATTCCATCAGAATTTTCATGTTTTATTTTCATCAAAAAGAAAATAAAGCAAATTTTTCCTTGTAAATCAATAAAAAATATTAAATTCATTTATATGAAAAAAATTTGAAAATATAATTTAATAAACTGAAAATGTTATTATAGCAATAAAAAATAAAGCAAATTTTTCCTTGTAAATCAATAAAAAATATTAAATTCATTTATATGAAAAAAATTTGAAAATATAATTTAATAAACTGAAAATGTTATTATAGCATTTAATAGGTAAAAATAATATCAGCTTTGAAAATATAATATAAAGAAAAATTTAAGTTAAATTAGTTATTAAAATTTAAGATTAATAATTTAAAAAATTTTGAAAACAATAAAATAGATTACAAATATAGTAAATTAAATTAATAAAACATAAATTAATTAATTTATATATCTATTAAAATTATTATTAGCTTCAAATC